GAGGAGGAGGAAGAGGAGGAGGAAGAGGAGGAGGAAGAAGAAGAGGAAGAAGAAGAGGAAGAAGAAGAAGAAGAAGAAGAAGAAGAAGAAGAAGAAGAAGAAGAATTGAGGGGGGGATGCAATACTTTTTATTTACAAAAATGCTTCTCATTTATGTTACATTTAAGAAGTGGGACATAACTACGTATTCAAAACAACATCTGAGCAATCAGATATTGAGCAAGTTCATATGAACCAATTTTCAAAAACCCACATTATGAGGTCAAGTCAGGGGTCAAATTTCTAAAAAAATCCCTTCTTAGTGAGCATCTATGTCATGGTAGGAGTGCTCTCCCCAAATTTCATGTTTCTAGGTGCAGGGGTTTGGCCTGGGCATTGATTTTACAGTGAGGGGATTTTCTTTTGATATACATAGATTGCCTACATATAAGTCTTATGGCATCTTATGCACTAATAAAATTTTACTTCAGCATATGTTTTTGTGGACTACTTTACATCATGGTCTCTTGACTCTGTTGTTTATTTTATTTTTTTATCTCTCCTATATTAAATGTCTGCATAGAGCTCCATGTGTCTGTATAGTGAGGAGCTACTCATTGCATCTGAAAAAATGGGCTCCAGTCCATGAAAGCCATATGCTGGAAGAAAATGTGGTTAGTTTTAAAGTGGCCACGGGAGTCCTGTGATCAACACAGCTATCTCTCTGGGACTGTAGTCTATAATGCATTCATATTTCAGTCTGTAATGAATTTTTTATCTGTGCTATCTTCACAGTATCATCCCTGTTCAAACATTTGGAACACAGAGCCATCTTATAATGTAGGCTTATTTGATTGCATTAATCAATAATATAATATAAATGAAAAGGCAGAGACAGAAGTATTCCCTCCAAATCCATTTAGAACCAACTGAAATGATTCAGAAATTCAAGATTACAACTTACATTGAGAAGCACGTGTTGCTGTAAATGAAAGAATACAATCAAGTCAGAGTTTGATATAAGAAATCTATCTCCTCATTTTCCAGTTGTTATCCTTTTGCTTTTGGGCTTTCTGCCCAGTTTGATCACTTTAGCTTCCAAGTGTTCAGAATCCAAAATCGTCGTTTAAACACTCCACATCCATTTTTTTAACAAACTCCACTCAGCTACTGCTTCACATGTACCCCATCCAGAGGTCATTTCGGGGGGGATCGCAGTTCCCCCGGGTGAGGTTGGGGGGGCGGGGCACACGACAAAGCCACACCCCCTGCTTCCGGCCGCCCCGCTTCCGTCCCTCATTCAGCCAGGAGGAGGGAGGAGAAGAGGGAGGGTAAGTTGCTTCCTCCCTGCCTCTCCCCACCCCTGCCTGTCTGGGGCCAGGGAGGGCCTTGGCGGGGCTTCCTCACACTCCCGCCGGCCTTGCAGGTCCACCGCCGGGCCTTATGAGGTCAGGGTGTGTGGCATATGCTAATGAGTTATGCTAATGAGTTCCCCTAGCTCTTTTTCTACAAAACGACCCCTGATCCCATCATATTACTTTTTTTTGGCTTTAACTCTTATGCATGTGTCGAGCTTTTACATAAAAGATGTGGGACCAGTTAAAATACACAGTTTTGCTTCTCACATCTAACCCTTCATTCTTTACAAAAATAGCAGACTCTAGTTACTTTCTCAGACTTTCCCCACTCACATGTTAAGAAGAAAATAACATGAGATTTAGGAGGTGATCCTAGTGAACCAGGGTGCAGTGTTTCAGACCTGCAAAGCCTGAGTTCAAAAGATTACTAGACTGAAGGTTGTGTAAAAATTACAGATGTGCAAATATTTGTTTTGGCTTCATTCTGTGCTTTGGTGGCAAGATTTGAAAGACTTCTTTAATAGTTGATTAGAATTGGCAGGAATTCAGCTCTTTTTCAGCCATTAATAAACATTCTGTGCCTGCCAAGACGGAGAAGCCCCTATCTAGGTATCTGTACAACTAAGATTTTTCCTCTGAGTGCCAGATCTGAGGTAAATCTAAAATTGTGTGCATTGTTTTGGCTGCTTAAATCCAATTTACATAGTCCTTAAAAATGAACTAATGGGGGGAGGAGTTGAGGTGCATAGAAGTGGCTATCACATGGAAGCTGCTTTGAGTTTGTTGCCAAGGAACAGATTCATTGTGGCTTGCAGTGTTATTTCCTTTCCATCACTTCCAAAACACAAAATGGCTCAATCTATGTGAGCAGGTGCTTTTATACAAACACCTAGCTCTGTGGAGGTTGCCACCGCAGAAAGCAACTTGGAGTAGCTCTTTTACTTGTCCCTGTCTTAATGCTAGGAAAAGCTAAAATTAAAATAAAACTTACCTTCAGCTATTTCCAGCAGTGGGTAAGAAAATAAGAAGAGAAGAAAAGAGAAATTAATTTTTTCTCA